TTATTTATAAGTGAAAAAAAATTTCTCTTTTTACCAATCGATAGAGCAAAAGATGCTCTATTTTTCTATGCTATTTGATCAATATTCAACTAAGAACATTATAATAAAATCTGGGCAAAACCTTTTTTCGTTGAACTCTAGCTGGTTGTAATAGTGCATAAAATCATCTACACGTGTTCTTTTTCGCTGTTTTTCCTTTTTTTTCTCGTTCTTTCATCATAATTTTCTTATCTCTTATAATAACTAATCATTCCATACACATTATTTTCATATATATTAATACGTCCGTCGTATTATTTTTGTGTGCACGTGTCGTCTACTTGTTTATATTCAAAAAAGATTGAAGGAAATCAAGTTTAAGTCTGATCTTATTTTCTTGTTTCAAATGAGTACAGAAAACTTTCGTTTTTACATCAAAACCCGTACTGCACTTAATATTCAAGCAAGAATTATTCATGATGAATTGTATTCTGTTTATGGTGATCAAGCTCCTTCTCTTAGAACAGTGGAAAGATGGTCCAAGTTATTTCGTGATGGTCGAGAAGAACTTGAAGATACAGCACGACCTCGTAGACCTATCACTGAAACAACATCTGAAAACATCGAACAGATTCGTCAGCTTATCGATGATGATCCTTATCTTACAATAGAAGAGTTACAAGAGCAAACTGATTTAAGTTACGGTACGATTCATCGAATCATCACCAATCATTTAAACCTTAGGAAAATTACCGCACGTTATATACCGAAAGATCTTACTGATTTTCAACGGGCTGAACGAGTTCGAATATGTAAAGAAAACTTATCAAAATTTCAACAAGGAACATGGCGATTATGTGACATAATTACTGGTGACGAATCGTGGTTTTATCATAAACAGATTGGTCGAAAGTCGTCAAATGCAGCGTGGGTGAGAAGAGGAGATCCTCCACCTACTGTAGTTCGTCAAAGTAAGTATGCTCCAAGGACCTTATTAGCCATCTTTTTCAAGTCGAACGGTCCTCTGCTTATTCATCGTTTGGAACGAGGACAGACTATGGACCATCGTTATTATATTGATAATTGTTTACGTCCTCTTATCGATGAAATTAAACGTCAAAGACCTTCATGTGGAACCCATGACATTAAAATTCATCATGACAATGGAAAACTAGGGTGTGGGTGGGGTGGGTGTGGGTGTGGGTGTGGGTGTGGGTGGGGTGGGTGTGGGTGTGGGTGTGGGTGTGGGTGGGTGGGGTGTGGGTGTGGGTGTGGGTGGGTTGTTGGCTTGTTCTGCTTGTTTAATGCACACCCATACCCATCCACATCCACAGCCCACACTCATACCCACACCCACCCACATCCCACATTCTATATTGAAAATTATCACTTTTGCTGATCAACTTACAGAAAAGTTGTCTGATGTTCACAATCGTATAAGCCTTATCTATCCAATGATGAAACACAGTATGAAGCCATTTTTAAAATAATCGTAATCTATTAGTCGTCTATAATCAGATTTTCTTATAGATTCCTCGTAAAGTTCATCTTTACTTGTTATTGTTCATTATTGAACAATGTCAACAATTGCACATTGTATAGAGATAATGTTGGCGTATACATTTTCTACGAACTGAATTTCTTTGTGAAAATATAGTTCTTTTTCTTGTTGACGATTAATTGTCTACTGCTCTTTATCTTGAATATTTATTGTCATCACGTGTAGTCCTTCTAAATAAAGTGTAGATAAAAAGTATTCAAGAAGTTAAACGACAAAAAAAGAGGCAAAAGAGACCGAAATGTTGCCATAATGCAAACATAAGAAAAGAGTTATTTGATAAACAACACTCGACCAGGTTGGAAGAAACCATCAGCACAATTGAGTCGGTATGGTTGATTTTCATTATTTGACTTTAATGAGCACCTTATTAAAAGAATTTCTAAAACGAACGAGAGTATTTCAAACGTCGAAAATAGAGCTATGTAACATACCACAAGTAATGAGATTTCGAAGAAGAAAACACAAGAGACACAAGTTTATTCAAGACTTTATTTCATTGCATGTTCGAAGTAGTTTCTCTAGTTATTTGCATAGAATTGTATGAGTTTAAGTCGCTAGTTCTTTCGAAAAATAATCTATTACTTCAGTTTTACGAAAAAAAAAACATGTGAAATTCATAAAGATTATTGAGTTTCTATTGGCAACAACTCCTATTTTAGTCTATCCAAGGGGAAAATCATGAAATCCTTAAATCTTGAATTCCCACGAATGCCAAAGATTACCTATCATTTTTAAGCATTCAAAGGATTCTTCAGAATTCCCTATGATTCCGTAGGATTCCTCACGGTTCTCTGGAATGCCTCAGGGTTTCCTATGATTCTATGGAATTCTCTTGAAAGGATGTGAGTGTGAATTTGGAGCGGGTGTAGCTTTTCTGTCATCCATGTAGGGTGTGGGTATGGGTGTATAGATAAAGTTATTGCGTACAGCCCACACCCACACCCACCCACACCCACACCTACACCCACACCCAAATCCACACCCACCCACACCCACCCACACCCACACCTACACCCAAATCCACACCCACCCCACACCCACACCCCACACCCACCCACACCCACACCCACACCCCACATCCACACCCCACATCCACATAAATCATACACCGTTTACTATCAACTGATAACAAAATTGTTTTTCCTTACGTTCAAATTCTATTATAACTCATTTTATTGTAAAATCCAAACAATAAAAAATGAAATGATTTTTAAATTGATGACATGCAAAATCTAAATATATTTCAAGCTTGAACTAACCAAATCAGTAAATATGTTGGAAAAATTCGATAAAAAAGAAAATTTCATTTACAATAAAATTCGAGTTCATCGCAATTTTTCACATTACTAGTTAAATTTTAGTTAGTTTTAGTCAAACTAAGGATTTTCACGCAAAATATTTGAAAACGTCAACAATATTTGTTTTCAACATTGAGAAAAACCAGATTCTAATCAAGTTCATAAGTTAAAAGCTTTTGTAATTGAGCGCAGTTCAATACTGTTTAAAAGAAATGAGAATAATTCATTTCTACTGCATACTTTTGTTTCATTTCAGTACCAATGCGTGCAAGTTCCATTGATATTCATCCCAATGCAAAATGGGCACAGAATGGTATCACTGTTGCTGGAGGAAATGGGAAAGGCAGTGACACCAATCAACTCAATAAGCCATGTGGTTTGTACGTCGACGATGATCAAACGATTTATGTCGCTGATTATTATAATCATCGTATTGTGGAATGGACATCTGGTGCAACGAATGGGAAAGTAGCTGCTGGTGGAAATGGAGAAGGAAATGGAGCTCATCAGTTAAATCACCCAGTTGATGTGATTGTCGACAAAGAGAGCGATAGTCTCATCATCAGCGATAGCTGGAATAGCAGAGTTGTTCGATGGCCTCGTCGAAATGGTACTCGTGGAGAAACAATTATTTCAAATTTCTCTTGCTGTGGTTTGACAATGGACGACAATGGTTCTCTCTATGTCATTGACATTGGACAACATGAAGTGAGACGATATAAAATTGGTGACACTAAAGGAACAGTAGTTGCAGGTGGTAACGGAAAAGGAAATCGTCTCGATCAACTCTCTGCGCCCCACTACGTATTTGTCGATAGAGATCATTCAGTTTATGTGTCTGATTATCAAAATCATCGTGTAATGAAATGGGAAGAAGATGCAACACAAGGTATTATCGTCGCCGGTGGTCAAGGAGAAGGAAATAGTCTTACACAATTGTGTTATCCTAATGGAGTCGTTGTCAATCAATTGGGTACTGTCTATGTGGCTGATTTCGGGAGTAATCGAATCATGCGTTGGCCAAAAGGATCCACACAGGGAAGTGTCATTGTTGGTGAAAACGGTGAAAGAGCACAATCGAATCAACTCTTTCTTCCCATAGGTTTATCATTTGATCGACATGGCAATCTCTATGTCGCCGATTCCGGAAATGATCGAGTACAAAAATTTAATATCGAATGAACTTCAATACGATGATGAATTTTATTTTCTTTTTATTCTCTTTCTCTTACAAATAAATTGCGATTGAATGAAAAAATGATTTCATTGCTACTCTATTCGCACGCGCGCGCGACCTGGAACCATCCTGGTGGAGCCGTGGCGAGCGTAAACCCAGGTGAAAGAATCCGATTGTACGATCTTATATGATCTTGTAAGAGTCGTATAAGATCGTACGCCGATCTTGTACGTTCATACAAAATCTTATGAAAATCGTATATGATCTTGTACGATTTTGTACGATTACCTCAAAGCCACCATTTCAGATGAAATCGTACTGTACGATTCTTGTACGATCTTAATGTCAGTCCTTGTACGATCTTATAAGATTCATACAAGATCCTTTAGAGCTTCCGACAACGTTATATACCTCATTTTCTTCCCTTCGGGTTCTATGCCTTCCTTTCTCAGGCAGTGTTTTATCTTAAGCACACATAAATGCAACAAATCACAATTATTTATTTACTTAATTTGATACATTTAGTCAATATAATATTGATGAATTAAAATTATCTTGACTAAATGTATCAAATTAAGTAAATAAACAATTTTCATTTTAATTTATAACCCTCAAATTCAATAAATCCATTAAATCAAATAAGTAATTTTAATTTTAATCCATAATCAATACATTCTCATAAATGCATCAATATCAATAAATAAATAATTATAATTTCATACCATAACCAATAAATTCACTAAATGCATCAATATAAATCTATATATATAAAGAAGAATGTTTGTTTGTTTGTTTGTTTGTCTGTTCGCTATGCATTTGAAGACCGTACGAGCAAATACGATCAAACTTTCCAGAAATGGTCTTTACACCCAGGGGAAGGTCGACATGTATTTTTTCCCGAAAAAAAACGAATCCTACGAATGCTACAGGCGATCTATGAAACCGACCAATAGAGTTGCAGCATTCTAAAAAATTAAAATAGTTGATAGCAAAGGCGGTCGAAGGCCGTCTGAGCGCTCATGTACAACATTTCACATGTTTCATCTATCTATGCCAATTCTGTGCTTGCTACAAGCAACCTAGGAAACTGACCAATAGGATTGCAGCATTCCAAAAAATTAAAATAATTGATAGCGAAGGCGGCCGAAGGCCGTCTGAGCGCTCATCTATATACATAAAGAAATGTGTTTGTGTCAAGGGGGAAACAGCTGATTTTAATCAATTTTAAATCAAAAAAAATCAAAGAAATCAAAAAAATCAGAAAATTTTCAATTTCTTTTGTTTAAAAACATCAATGAAGAATGAAATCAGCTGAAATCAGATTTTTCTGATTTTCTGTGATTTTTTTGATTTTTTTTGATTTTCTTTTAATTTTTCTGAATTTATTGATTTTTCTGATTTCTTTTTTGACTTTTCTCATTTCTCTTTTGGTTTTTCTGATTTCTTTTTTGATTTAAAGTCAATTGATTTAAATCAAAAAAATCAAAAAAATC